CTTTTTTTTGTGTGTCGTGAGAGAGAGTGAGAGAAAGCTATTTTTGCATAGTTGGGCTGTCCACAATTTTTGCAGCCCAAACTCGTATTGTCCGCGGACCATATGGTCGTGATCCAACTGGACTAATTTTGTAATGGGCTTAAAACTGTAGAACCATATCAGTCCACGATAAAGCGGACTGGGCCACACCCATAGGCAATAGGCCCAATTGACAGCTCTAATCTTAACCTTTGTGAGTGTAAAAAAACTTGATGTATTGCTTTAAAACTTGATGACATAAAAAAATAGCACATACGAAAAGAAAAACAATGAGAAGATATCTTAATTTTTCATATAATTTTCATCTTAACCAAAAAAAATAATCGTTATCATTGATTACTATAGTTTTCCGTTTAAATAAAAAACTTCAAACGACAAATCCTATTATAATAATTCACAAGTAAGTTTTCGATTAACTGCAACTTTCCCTATATGCTAAGTGGCAAAACTCTCAAAATTTGCTATTCCGGTTTTTTAGTTAACTAAATAGGTAACGAGAGATTTTTTTCCTTTTCAAATCCACGTAAACAAATAATGAAATCAAATTCCTCAGCTTTTTCTTTTAATTGCTTCTCCTCACCCACGATCACCACTAATACACCTCTCTTTCATTTCTATTTGTAAGTTAAATAGATTTTCATGACAGTTTTCGATTTCAACAAAGCACATCTTTCTTTTTGATCCATTTGAAAAAATTAAATTTCTGTTTACAAAAAAAAAAATTCCTCTGCAACGTGCAGAGGGCACAACACTAGTGATTAATAGGAGCCATTTAAAAGATGGTCATGTTTTCTTAGGTCGATTGGTTTTCTCGTAATCATCTTACTATAATCTAACGTTAATAGAAACTAATCATTAAAGTATAACTTGTATATTTAAATGCTAGCAAATAAATATTTCATGTATACATATTTGTACATCGACAAACAATAATTTAAAGTCTAATCAAAATTGAAAGTTATGTTTTTCCTATAACCTTTTTTTCACTCACACATTCACAGTCAATTTTTAGATTGTGTCCTCTTAAC